GATATTTCAGATGATGAGATATATTCTCACTGCAACTGTCTACAACAGCTGGGAATTTTGAAGCTGGTTTGTACAACATACTAATGCACAAATTAGACAACTGAATTTTAGCCTAAGCATACCGCACAAACTTAGCGGTACTATTAATTGTTTAAAGCAGTGGTTCTCAACCTGTGGGTCGGGACCCCATTTGGGGTCGATCGACCATTTCACGGGGGTTGCCAAGCAAGGCTGTCCGCCATTTTTTTCCCCTTTTCCGGCGGGTGCCTTACCTCCCTTGAGCTGGGCCAGCCTGCTCCGTCTCTGCTGCTTGCCAGCTACGCCTTGGCCGGCGCAGGGGGCAGAACCACGCATGCGCGGCGCTCCCGGGCAGGGAAAGTCCTCGACTTACGACAGGTTTAGTCCTCGACTTACAACCGGTTTAGTCCTCGACTTACGACCGGTTGGGGTCGTGGCATTAAAAAGGTTGAGAACCACTGGTTTAAAGTGTTGTACATATCCAGAAAAAGAATGTAATTCAAGTAATCATGATTATATTAATCATGAATATGCACATCATGTGAATATAGGATCCATTCCTTGAGTTCCTTTCTTAGTTTTATGCTTTGATATGAAATTCATATTAATAATAATAATAATATTAGAAGTCTAATCCTTCCAGATTCAGATTTATTGTGCTTTCTTCTGTTGTGCAGAAGTTAACAAACACCACCATAAAACAAAGCAGAAGGATTTGCGGTGATTATGTATTCAATTCTGTAGAAATATATAAAAAATTATGTTTTTCTACATTCCATTTGGCCAGTTACCCTTGCATTGTTTCCCGTCCTCCAATGTCTTAAAAACCTGTAAATCTATTTGTATAATGAAAGGCATATCTATCCACAATATTCTTACATCTTTACTAGGGACCTTGCTTCCACCAGTGCTTGCAATAAGGAAGAATAATTTTGACTTGTTTTTTGCATTTAAAAAAAACACGAAGGTAAAAAATGTAGAATCCTTGGTGCTCTCTGAGCTTGTTTACAGATGTTTTATTACCTGACTAGGTGACATTATCAGTTCTGATGAGAGTGGGTTAACCCCATTCACTCCATACTTCAACCTTGAACCATATATATCTCTTTTGAAAGTCAAAAATCCTGCCTTGGCATATCAATTGAGTGCTCTTTATCAATTAAGAACAAGCAGCCAAGATTACAAAACTTCCATTATCTCATTCCAGAGTTCAGGACATAGAATAATGGATTATTCTGGGTTACCAGATGAATATTATATAAAAAATAGCTTTCCAATACTATGAGCAGTTTGGCAGAGAAACCAATTACAGATAGATCAACTTATAACAATGTATTTAACAACCATTCAAAGTTCCAATGGCACTGAAAAAAGTGGCTTATGACTGGTCCTTATAATTATGACCATCATAGCATCCCCAAAGTCATGTGATCAAAAGGCAGGCACTTGGCATCCTGGATATATTTATAATTGCTGCAGCATCCTGGGGATTGTGTAATCAACTTTTCCAGCAATTAATGTTAGAATTGCCTTGTTAACAATGAAAATTCTGGTTCCAATTTTGGTTGTAAGCAGAGACTACCTATATCATGACAGGTGGAGGCTTCCCATTCATTGGATGGATTTAAGAAGACGCTAGGCTCAGATAGTTTACTTTGGATGCTTGCACTTATCACTGACAAGTTCCTCCAACTTAATGATACTGTTTTCTAAAGTAAATACATTTTTCCAGTGCCCTTAAAAAGGCAGACCTAGGCTAAAACATATCAAAAATGGCTGCAGGAATTGGGTATGTCTAGTCCAGGGGTAGGCAACCTAGGCTCTTTTATGACTCATGGATTTCAACTCCCAGAATTCCTGAGTCAGCTATGCTAACTCAGGAATTCTGGGAGTTGAAGTCCACGAGTCATAAAAGAGAAGAGGTTGCCTACCCCTGGTCTAGTCTAATGAAGAGAAGGAATGGGGGTGACATGACAGTAGTGTTCCACTGTCTCAGGGGCTGCCACAAAGAAGAGGGAGTCGAGCTATTCTCCAAAGCACCTGAAGGAACGACAAGAAGCAACGGATGGAAACTGATGAAAGAGAGAAGCAACCTAGAACTAAGGAGAAACTTCCTGACAGTTAGAACAATTAATCAGTGGAACAACCTGCCTCCAGAAATTGTGAATTTTCCAACACTGGAAGTTTTAAAGAAGAGATTGGACATCCATTTGTCTGAAATGGTATAGGGTCTCCTGCTTGAACAGGGGGTTGGGCTAGAAGACCCCCAAGGTCCTTTCCGTTATTATTTCATGGTCCCTGGCCACATCTTCACCTTTGGCTAACCCTGTCTGGTCATGCATGAGATAATTGGAAATTAGAAATCAAATGTAAAGTGTACAACCCTTTTGGTTCAGTCCTCTACAACGATCCCAGTTTCTCCTCTGGCCCCTTGGAAAAATTAATTGCCCACCCTTGCTTAAAGGAGACCAACTCACAATCTGCAAGGTAGTAAGATGATGACTGAGGGAGCCTGGATGTATTCAGCACCTAAGAGACCTCCTAGATTAGCATATTAAAGAACCATTATAGAAGGAATACAGGCAGGAGGTTGAATCCGGTTCTTCTTAATGTCAGAATTAAAACTAGCATTTTTATGTCTGAATCTCATTTTTAAAATTCTCCTTAAACATAACATACACACAAACACTACTGCCATTCTACAGATTGTATTACCTTTAAACATTGGTTTATATTAGTGTTTCACAAAAGGCAGAATCATTGTAAGTGTGTGTGTGGGCCTCAATCGTGGTTGCACAACTCTCACACTTGATTCCCAGACAATAATAATTTTTTGCACTGGAAAAATACAGCTCTGACAATCAGGTCTCCTGTCTATAGAAAACAAGAATGAGAATCAGGATTTATTAATTGGCGGAAGTTTTTATTTATTTTGATTTTTTGGTACAGATTTAGGGTGAAACCAGAAGTTATCTAGTAGCAGAGAATTCTATAGTATCTTATGCAGATGCTTATTGAGATATGAGCAGAAAGGAAAGTTATTTCATGTAAATATGAGGGTGATTATAGTACTAATAAATATTGTTCTGGAAAAAATGTAGCTTTAACTCTTAATTTGAGTCAATTTAAAATAATCATTAAATCTTTCAAGTTCAAAATGTCCAGTTGCTAGGCAGGTTTTTGCTATATACAGAATAGGGTGCAGGTAAAATACAAACTGTTAGTTAAATGTTAAAAAAGATAGGAGGAAAAAAAGTAAAGTTTGCTTTCTTATACTGCCACCTAGAGGGCAATGCCTGGAATACATGCGACTACAGCAAAAACATAATCCTAGGTAGAAATAGTGAATTAACTTTAAGATTCTGTGGCAATTGGATTTAGATCTTATTTATGTCTACTAAATATTATAATGGAACATAAAGCACAATTTACCTGTTTCTAAAGGAAGTGGAAGTGCTGAATGTAACATAACTGCTGGGCTCTTTGCAAGATGTGTTTATATTTTTTTTAAAGATAAATGTTCTCTCAAAGAAGAAATAAAAAGGAACAATAAGAGGGAAAAAAAACCCTGCTTCCTTTACAAAACTTTCTCAGGAGTGATTTTTAGTAAAAAAAAAAGAAAGAATTGCTTCTCCTAATATTAATTTTATGCCAATTACTCTTGTCTTTTTTAACCAAGGTCTAAGCAAAGATGCTATTATAAAGCAAATTTAAAGGAAGGGATATTTAAAAATAAATGTGCTTTGGAGATACTGTATACAATGAACTTTGAAAATTCCCCCTTTAACTTTTACTATATATGTGCAAGTAGATGTGAGCACACATGCGCACATACGCATACACACATATCTACACAGAATCACTACAATCACACAAACCCAATTATGAAAACTTACAGTAATGCAAGCTAAAGAATTGACACTGAATTGCTAGTAGCCAGCCGTTCATATAGGCACCTTTGCCTGATAACTAGGCAGAGTTGGCCTTAGTATTTGGATATGGAAACTATTGTAACCTAGACACACAAATAATATCTCTGCTCTTGTGCAGAAAACATCCCAAGAAAACATCCCAACAAAGAGTTAAACAAAACTTAAAGGAGGCTTTGTTTCTATTTGCGCAAACATTGATGCACACAAACATACAAAAACACAAGAACCAGCTATTAAATAGGAACCCTCAAGGAGAAAGCACCTTTCCAGACTAAACTACTTATATGTCAGTTAAAATAACCTTCTTCCCGTAAGGAAGAGTTATGAATTCCAGATTATTCCAACTTCTCTTTCTCCCCACCATCCATCTGAGATCCAGTAAGTGTCCTGGATGAGTCACACGTTACTAAGGAGATATGCAAATACAAACGCTTTGAAATTTCTCCAAGGAACTAGAAAGGTGGGGAAGAAAGTGGGGATTGGGGAAGAGGGTGGGAGAAGAGAGAGGTGCAAGAACCCGAACCAACAAAAGCACATGTTGCTCAAATTTATGCTTCAACTCGTTCCTGGAGCTTAATATAGCTCTTGAAAATCTACTCTTGATCACTTCGGACTTAGAATCGAAAGGAGAGGAGAGGCAAGGGATTTGATTGCCAAGTATTCTATCTCTCTCCAACCCCATGCAAATTCTTTCCCGGGGGATCTGCTTCCTCCCTTTAACTTTTCGTTAAATCAGAGGTTTCCGAGTACCGCTAGCCGCATCCATCTCTTAAATCCAAGGGAGACACCGAGTTTTGTCATGAGCTTCCACAAGACCCCGTACCAAAACCGGGGGGGGGGGGGGAGAATAAAAACTAGGAGAGAAAGTATCCGCAGAGTCTCTCTCTCTCTCCCCCTGGCCCAGGCGCCTCAGCCCGTCGCACGGCCACGGTTGCTCCGTCCGTCCGTCCGTCCGAGCGGAGGGGCGGAAGGCGCGGAACACCCGAGGCGAGGCGCCCGGCTTTCTCCCACCCGCGTCCTGCCCCCCGAGTCAGGCAGGGGTTGGCTTACATCCTGCTCCTCGCCGTCGCTCCTCCTCGCCTGGTACTGGAAGCGAGGTCTGGGGTTGTGCGGCTGCGACGGGCGCGAAGCTTTCGCCGCTCCAGTGGCCGCGTGGGCCGACGCGGCGGCAGCAGCAGCGGCGGCTCCGTCTTCCTCGGAGCACTGGGGGCCTAGGAGGTGGCTGGCTTCGGGAGTGACTGGGAAGGAGCGGGAGGTGTTGATCTTCCCGCCGAAGCGCTGGTACAAGGAAGCCATTCGGTCGATCCAGGGCGGCAGCCTGGCCAGGGAGGACTAGGGAGTTCGCCGGGCGTCTGGAGCCACCCCTCTTCTGCCTGGCGCTCGCCCGCCCGCTCCGGACGCGCCACCCGTCTGCCTCAGGGGAGCCGGCGGGGACGGCGCGCTCGCCGCCCGGGCATCGGAAGAGAGAGAGAGAGGGCTAGGAGGAGAACGTGTAGGAACCCCGCCGTCGGCGCGTCAAACTCGCCGCCCTCTTCCCTCGCCAGGAAGCTGGTCGATCGATGCGGTCGTGACCCCCGGTTAGAGGAGGGGCGCGGAGCAGGGAGGCGACTTGGCTCCCTCGCCCGGCGCCTTCCCGGGGCCACAGAGCAGCCGCCTTCCAGGTCGCATGCCAGGAGTGTGTGTGTGTGTGTGTGTGTGTGTGTGTGTGTTTGTGGTGGCCGTGGAGGGGGGGAGAGAGGGAGAAGGAGGAGGGTGCGATTGAGGGTGCGCGCGCGTGCCAGGGAAGGAGGGCGAGTGTCTTCTGCGCGCGAGGCGGCTGCGAGAGCCGGGCCGCAGACCGGGTGGACGGGCGCCTTTAGCCCCGGCTCTGGGCAAGTGGGTTACCTCCCTCCATGGGGAAACTTGGAAAGGAGCGGCGGGATGTGGGCAGCTCGCGTGCCCGCCTGCTTGCCGCTGCTCGGGAGAGGCGAGAGCGGCTGTGGCGTGCTGGCACGCGGTCTCTCCTGCGGGACTTTACCTAGACCAGGGGCCGGGGACGCCTCCCGCCGGGGCCCCACCTGCTTGCGCACCAGCCCACCCGTCTCCTCCCGCCGCGGGGCTTGTTTAATCCCCGCCGGCGCTGCGCCCGCTTTCTTCATTCATTTTGCTGCATTAAAACGTGCTCCAGCGCCCCTCCGTGGAAACACGCGCGCATTACTTCGCGGGCGTCAACAAAGCGCCAGACGAGCCAAGACCCCCCGCGAGGCGGCCGGAGTCCGGCGGGGCGGAATAGATCAAAGCCATTTCTCTCTTCCCCCCCCCCCCGGAAGGGCTGGCGTTTTCTGGAAACCCGTCCCCCTCGCCCTTCCCGGGTGACTCTTGCCAGTCCGGAAGGCTCAGCGGCAGCCAACGGTGATTACGATGCTCAGGGCCAGTCAGAGGTTAGCTCTGGGCAGCGGCATCCCACCAAAGGGGACGGTGTGTGTGTGTGTGTGTGTATGTCCGGGCTTCGGGATGGGGAGACTGCGAGCAGATCTCTGGGTTCCCATAGCAACAGGTGTGTGTGTGTGTGAGCGAGAAAAAGTGTGTTTGTGTGTGTGTGTGTGTGTGAGAGAGAGAGAGAGAGAGAGAGAGAGAATGTAGAAACTTGAGAATTCAGACGAGGGCCGAGTTCTTGGAGGAATATGTTTTGGACGTTACCTTTCTATCCTTCCTAGCTTTTCACAAAAGCTTTCTGAGCGGAGAGATTTCTTTTGTCCGACATTTCCTTTCCTGCATTATTGCCATTATTATTTCTTCATTAGCAATAAAAGAGGATACTTGTAGCACATGGCTGAACTGTGGGGTCCTTGGTGCGCTCTGAGGTTGACTGGTGGGGTTTTTTTTGCAGAGGTTTCATTACCCAACTAGGTCACTTCATCAGTGTTAGGTGTTGGGGTGTCCTTTTGCTAGCATTAAAGTATTATCTAGTTGGGTAATGAAACATCAGAGAGTACCAAGGACCCCACATATTTTTTTTCAATAACAATATCCTTCCTTCCTTCCTTCCTTTCTTCCCTAGGACCCCAGGGTTATGTGATGACTTTTTACAATCTTTCTGACAAGCAAAGTCAATGGGAAAGCCAGGTTCACTTAACATCTGTGTTACTAACTTAACAACTGCATTGATTCGCTTAACAAATGTGGCAAGGAAGATTGTTAACAACTGTCTTGCTTAGCAATGCAAATTTTGCGTTCAGTTGTGGTCATAAATTTGAGGACTACCTGTATTAATCTAGAAGTCTTTTTATGTTCATTTTTTAAAAATAAACAAGAGACACGATGGGGCAAATATTGTAACTAATTCCAGGAAACTGTAGAAAAGGATGATGAATGCCAGAGCCTCATGAGAGAAAACAGATACAAGATTAGCAAGAGGAAGAGGTAGGAAATTGGGGAAGAAAATAAAATAATGAAAGATAATGTGAGTTTTTCCTCCCCCCTAGAAATGGGCAGGAATGGAGGACTCTGAGAGAAAACATTCAAAATGAGCATAAAAAGAAATGGGAAAAATACCCTCAAGGCCACACGTGTTAATAAGAATACTTTCCTGTGAACAAAAAAGTGTATTTTCTATAGTGCTGTGTTCTCAGTCACAGCTCAGGTCCTTAAGCAAAGATTACAGGTACGTTAGTCCAAATTTACTGAAAATGTATTACAGGTAGTCCTCAACTTACGGCCACAACAGAGCCCAAAATCTTTGTTGTTCAGCGAGGCAGTTTAAGTGGGTTTTGTTCCATTTTGCAACCTTTTTTGCTCCAGTTCTTAAGCGAATTGCAGGTATTGCCAAGAAAACCATGCCGTTGTTAAGCGGATCTGGCTTCCTCCCATTGACTTTGCTAGCGGGAAGCTGGCTGGGAAGGTCGCAGAATGTGATCACCTGACTCCAGAGCTTTGCAACTGCCACAAATACATGTCAGTTGCCAAGCATCTGACTTTTGATCACGTGACCATGGAGCTGTTGCAATGGTATTAAATGTGAAAATCAGTCACCAGTCGCTGTTTTCAGTGCTGTTGCAACTTTGAATAGTCATTAAACAAATGTAAGTCAAGGACTACATATACTCCACAAAATATAGAAATGGGGAGTTCGAAGATGTCGGAGGAAGCAACACACTTCTCAAGGAAAACTCCAGGCTGGGGAGACACACAGATACAAATGAATGTGTTTACACACACACACACACACCTCAAATACATGTGAAATAAAACCTTCTCTCTTTTCTTTTAATAACAAATTTGTGTAGGGAGGCCCAATAAACCCAGAACACGGACCTTTTATGAAGCTGGAATCAAGCATCAACAAGAGCGGGGACCGATAAGAGAGGAGGTCGCAGCAGCCACAATAACTCAGAGGAATTAAATGATTGCCTGGCCGGAATGCTGAATTGTAATAATAATAATAATAATAATAATAATAATAATAATAATAATAATAATAATAATAATAATAATAATAATAATAAAGTTGGAAGGGACCTTGGCGGTCATCTAGTCCAACCCCCTGCTCAGGCAGGAAACCCTATACCATTTCAGACAAATGGCTGTCCAGTCTCTTCTTAAAAACTTCCAGTGTTGGAGCATTCACCGCTTCTGGAGGCAGGTGGTTCCACTGGTTAATTGTTC